GAGTTTAAAAAGAATCAAGCAGTGGTTCACTCCTTCAACGACTTGTTTAAACTCTCATACGTTGAAAGTGCTTGGTATGAACCCGAAAGTGTTTGCTCGACGTGCTCTGCAGTACTGAAGAAAGTGAAATCCGGTAAGTGTTATAACCAGCATTTGTTATTTGAGACTCCCATGACTTGGCATTATCAACCGTATCACAAGTCGAAAGATTGCTACTTCTGCCAAACAGATACCGTTGGCCATCACTACAAAACTCGCAATCTCATAAAATATGCTAATGTGTTGACTGTATCGAGACCAACCCCGAAAGAAAACACAGGGGAGCCAACTGCAAACGGACAAGCAGACCCTTGCAGCGAGTTCCCGATTGAAAAAAATGAGGACTCGTCGTATGTTCCAAATCGGGCAGTAGTAAAGAAACGACATTTTATATCTAGCCAAGATTATAGTGATCTTAGTCGTGATTTGAATCTGTCTTATAGAGAAACAGAGATCCTGGGTTCACGAATAAAGCAGTGGAATGTAGTGGATGATGACTTTAAAGCAATGATGGGCAAAACGCTACTCGCGAGTAGCGTCTGCGTCGCAGCGCTTATACGTATCCAGAAACGACGCAGCGAATTTCACTTCAGTCTGCTTTCAGTTTTCATGAGAGTAACACCACGCTTCGCCGTTGAATATTTTTATTCGTAATTTTAGCGCGTTGGTGCCACCTATATATGTAACAATGCCCAAAATGGCTGCGTATGAGTGCCAATTATAGTTTTTGGTTTTAAGAAAAGCCAATAATGCCCAATGCTTGTTACGTGGTAATACGACTAAAAAAATGTTTTTTCTTTCCCAACCCTTTAGCCTAATTTTTACGTGAACGGATAATCGTTTATGTAACTTTTATATGTTTTCTAGACACACTCTGCAAGGCCTTTCTAACGATACCTCATACATGTCCAATGGACATCTGGATAAAAACTTCCAAGTCTCGTGTATATATAAGCGACTCATTTCAGCATGCTATTGTGGCTGCATTTTTCACTCGCGCGCACTGCCGTCCGCTGTGATAAGCGAGTCATTTCAGCATGCTACTGTAGCTGTTTTGGTCACTCGCGCGCACTGCCGTGCGCTGTGATAAGACAAACCCAAGTAATTTTGACCGCGAACTGAGCTATGTATAATGTACCTATATGATTGATATTGACTAGAAATGTTTATGTAGATACAATTTCACTTTTCTGCTTTAAGTGATATTTTTAGACAATATCTTTTGCTTCATTTTTTCCAGAATCGCAGAAGATGAGTGGGAAAATCCACATCCTTGCAATAAAGATCCTGATCTGTTGGAGAACAAGTGGGGCCTACTCAATACCTTTTATTTGACAGCGGCCTCCATCATGCAGGCTGGTTGTGATATATTGCCAAAGTAGCACTATAATCTTTATGTTATCTTTTCGTTTCTTCTATCGTAGTTGTAAATGTTTCTACATATTTTCACAGAAGTGCACCGTTCCGCACATTCACGGCAATGTGGTGGATAATTGCAGTTATAATACCCAACTCTTACACTGCTAATTTGGCTGCATTTTTGACCAGCTCAAAAATGGAGGATAGTGTTACAGACATCAAGAGTCTGGCGGAGCAGACAGCTATAAAGTTTGGCACTATGGAAGGTGGCAGTACGTATACGCTGTTTGCCGAGTCGAACGAGACTGTATATCGTCTGGCCTTCAATATGATGAACAATGAAGATCCCTCGGCGTACACCAAGGATAATAAAGAAGGAGTGGAACGAGTGTTAAAAAATAATGGATCATATATGTTTCTAATGGAGACAACTAGCTTGGAGTACAATATTGAGCGCAATTGCCAGCTCCGCATAGTAGGCGAGAAATTCGGAGAAAAACATTACGCCATAGCAGTGCCTTTTGGTAAGTGTTTAAAACATATAATTTAGAGTCTAAAAATCTAAACAAACATCGATGCATCAGAAACATCGATGTTTGCTATATAATACATCGATTTATTTTTGCTGTGCTTCATAATTTTTCATTAAAGAAATCTTATTAGGGTTACATGTTAGCTAAAGAATTTTAGAACGTGCTGAACAGTTTTCTGTGGTTCATAATTATTCAAAGAACAGTTAATTTGAAGCAGTTTCATCGAAAAAATTTGGAATTCCATACCCGCTCTCTATAGTAGGGGAGCCCAAGAGAGCCGAGCATTGGGTAGCTGATCAGAATAATAAAAAAAATTTGACAGGTGGATTTACTCGAGCGAGATTAAGAAATGGTGGGTTAACTACATCCTGAAAAGTGTGCATTTCAATAATCTGACGATTTGAGCGTGACACAAGGGATTGGGAGGGTCGCAAACTTGCAAAACGAAACGTTACCTTGACATTCTCGAGCGCGATTAATTTTTTTTATTATGAAGCAAACAGCTCAAGGATAATGGGAAGTATATCGTCCCTGAAATATAGAAACAGTGTAAATGCCATATACACTATTATTTGATAATCGCATCATCGGATAGACAATCCTTTACCCTATTAGAAAAATCTTTAGTTTTCTTAAATATCTTATTCGAAATTTTATAATAACAATGTAGTGTAGTGTGCCCGACCCACACTTAGCACCTGCGGTTCATATTGCTAAGTCGGCGTGTTTGTTGTGATCTTCCTGTGTGGCATACTTACCAGTGCACTTGATGCCACATGCGGAACACGCGTCACGGCTAGCACTATCGTTGAGCGTACGGCGCCGCATGAGGTACACTTGATGCTTGCTTTTGCAAGAGCAAGATCAGATTACCGAGCGTACATATGTATGTGGGTCAGCGCCACGATCCAGAAAATAAAGGTCGCGCCATTCGCGGACCGCTAACCCTCTCTTCGTCCATTGTGCAAGAAACATCGATTTTTATTAATTTGAATCGGCATCCTTACAATAAATTATGTATTCATAGAAAGTCCATAAAATACACCAATAAAAATTTGGTGCCTTTTCAAATTCAAAACTTGGCAATACTGCCTTTTGTTCGATGCTTCTTCTTTTTCTTGTCGAGTTCGTCTTGCTCTCTCATTCTGGTATATTTTGACGTCACGGCCAGTTGCTCTCAGCTCGATAGGCGCAATCTTGTATTCTATAATTCTTGGGTCAGCGCACATGTACCACATGTATGTACATAAACATGTCAATGCAAAATAGTAAGTAAGCATTTTGATTAGAAGTAGGGGAAATAGGGAGTGACCAATGTGATTGGTCACTCATAGAAATAAAAATTTAGATTTTAAACATATAAAAGACGGCGTTGAGCCGAAATAAAGTCATTCTTGTGATAAGACTCAAGCATGTATGTATTATCAGAATCAAATCGTGCATTTTAATGTAAGGACCAAATCGGCTGGAGAGCTAAGAAAATACTCACAGCCTGACAGGGAAATAATATATTGAATTCCTGCCCTAAAATATAGTCAGGCTAATATAAAAACATTACAGTAGGTTATATTATATACTAATTCGCGAAAAAACGAGATTTTATAATAACAGTGTAGGTACTACAATTGTTTACAAATAGTTAGGGAGTTCACAAGGTGTTGTATACTGTCGTACTGTTGTATGTCATAAACTTTAAACGGCGAGAACTATATTTAAGGAATTCGCAAGCTAACATAAAAGTTTTATTATGAAATTTCACACAATTAAAAAATAGTTGGTGGTGATTTCAAATCCTCTAAACATTTATTTAGCCGTTAAAACTTTACAACATACAACAATACGACAAGTACGACACCTTGTGAACCACCCAAGTGTATGGCGCACTTGAGAAAATGCCAAAGAAATTGTTGTAATATTAAAATAACGTTAGAATATTTTACTTAATTATATGGCTGCTAACCCTGTTGACGTTTGGACGTTTTTTGTGTAAAAAATGACGTTTTTTAACTTCCCAGTAATTTTTCTTTGTTACTAACTTTTATAAGTAGAAGTGATTTTGAATTATTTTCTTAATTATTCTTTACAATCTTTGTGTTTTGCTGCAGCTGCTTCCTCCAAAGGTTCTTTTTTGGATTCTTGAGGTTACGAGGCTTGCTGTAATGATGCAATTGCACATTAAAAGCCAAATCAGGTAGAGCCGATCTATTGCAGCAGGCACGCTCGCAAAAGCGTCAAAAAAGCTGTGCAGCATAAAACGCCAGAAAAAAGTAGGCGACTTGTTTAAGACTTCATTGAAAATGTACTGAGCGCAAAAAATACTGAAATATTAGGTCCATTCAATAACTTTTCCGGTAAGTACTTGCATCGAGAGCGTAAAAGAAAAATAGAGAGTAAAATTGAGAGCAAGAGAAAATTTTCAGAAAAAGTCATTGAACGCAAAACTAGTAAAACTTGCAACTTACACTGAGAAAAAGGATTAGTTTCGACAACTAAAGATATTAAGTTCCCGAATTTTGACAATATTTGGGAACTGTTACCAAGGATTGGGAACTATTACCATGGGTTGGTAATTATAACTAAATATATCAAAGCTTCTAATATTCACCTAGGTTGTACAAAATCGTTAACTTAGTTGAAGGGTTTGGTAAATACTAATAAATATTTTTTTGAAGCATATTTCTACAAATTCCATTCAACTTAACGTATGGTTCATAAAAGGATGTTATTAAGCTCTGCTAATACAGATAAGCTTTCTCTCAACACATGTATTAGTCATAGTTACCAAATCTTAGTTGAGGCAACCACGATTTGGTTTGAGAGCGGAACATATTCATGCTTGTGAGCCACCCCTAAAGAATGCTGAGCGCTCTCTGAGCACATGGGTGTTTCACATACGAAGAGCGCCAGCTGAGCAATCCACACAGTCCCACTCATAGTTGCCAACTTGGTGCTTTAAGCACTAGATTTAGTGCTTTTTGAAAATTAAAACGCCTAAAAAAATTATTTAGTGCCTAGTGCCGTTTTTAGTGCTTTTTTCTGAACTATAATTACTCCGATATAGTTAAGACCTGAAATAATTTTTAAATATTTAAAGCTGTAGCAGCACTGCATTTACAAAAATCTACAAATTTAAATGCACTTAAATACAACCATGATTGATAAAAAGCTGAACTTGCAAACCCACCTTTTTCAATTCTATTCGCCTTGAAAATGCTAGTAGATATGCGAGTAAGTTAAGAATTCCCTTTTTTTCTTTTCTAATTATTTGTAAAAATTTGTATTTTTGTACCACCTGAGTAAAACACATCGTTTCTTGGTGACAAATCTGGCCGCACAATTGCTCTAGCAGTAGAATTTTGAGATATCCTAACCTCAAAGTGCCAAAATCACGGTTTTTGGCGCTATTTGAGGTTATATAATGAAAACATAAATTTGTTTGCTCATTTCTACTTAGGGCATGATCTTCGTTTGTTGGGATTCGATCTTTCTTTCTTGAGATCAATCAGTTTTAATGTGCAGTACTTCGGTGTTACGTCGTAAGCATAAGTCATTATAGTATGTGGCTTTTCAATCGTTGTGAGCGAAAAAGTTTTGTTTATTGATTTATGTATGCATTGTTGTAAATATTGTTAATTTTTTGGTTTTGTTAAATACATACAAACTTTTATGAAAAAAGCATTCATTGATTCAAAACAATTTGGTGCTTTTTGTGTGGTAAAACGCTTTTTTCCAAGTTTTTGGTGCTTTATGAAAATCAAAAGCTGGCAACTGTTGTGTGTCTACAAATAATTAGTAAGTAAGGTCAGTAATGTAAACTCACATGTGACTGCAATATTATATAATAACGTTCTTAACAACAACATTAAGAATGCAAGCAAAAAGAGTTATGACTCATATATATGTCACAAATTGTGCAAAGCGTTAGCGGCCACTTGCTTTGTAGAAACGATCATATTGCAGCTTGCACATGTGGGTCACTTTTGTGAAGACATTTGTAGTGTTGAATTTTCTCAAGACGATGAACTTTGTAGAGCAACTGTGAAACAATTGGTTTCACAATTGATATTTCTCAATATATGAGAAGTCAATATAAATTTAATTAGAGTAAAATAAAAGCAATGAGACTTTACTACAAGAACATTTAGAAAATGCAAAACTACAAAATAATAAATTATGATTGGTCACAATATGAAAATTTTGGAAAAGTAACTTAAAATTGGGAGTGTCTTAGATTTAAGGAGAAATGTAAAATTTATTATAAAAGCAGTGTTTGTGCACTGAAATAAACAGACTTGTTTTGAATCAAGAATCGGCGGCATTGCCTCTAACTTGTCTCATCAATAAAAATAGGCCTTGAGGCCATCATCCTTTTAGCGTGGCTCGCTTAAAAGCCAAAAGTTAAAAATACTTAAAAATAACAATATAAAAAAAATAAACATAACATGGCGATCCTGTCAAATAACTCTAATAAAAACAAATAAATTTAAATAAAAATTATATTCATGACGGAGCAAAAGAGGATCTGGACAACCTGTTTGAAGAGCTGAACCACCCAAGATCCTACGAAGAAGAAAATATAGATGGTGAATATGTCCCTGAAGCACTGACGACAACATCATCCACACCAATATCAAAATACGTCCCAACTCCGCTCACGGCTGGACCTAAGCCACTAACAATCGGAGCTTACAGAAAAAGACAAATTAAAAACGATAGCACAGAGCATAGTGCACCAAAACGAAAAACCCGAGGAGGTAAGGCGGTGAAACTACGAAGGAGCTTCACAGGGTAATTCCATTAGCTACTGGAGAGAACAAACGAAAATTAATTGCGGAACTAATAGAATTGAAGAAAAATCAACATAAACAAGATAACAACTGAGGCATGGTTTGGACAATTGTACTTCCAAAAGCCAAAGAACAGCAGCANTGTTCTATATCGAAAAAAACTATACCCCTATTTTTTTATTTTGAAAAAAAAAAAAATAAAAATAGGGAGTGCTCAAAGCGCTCAAAGGTTTCCATGTATTTTATATGGGGGAAAAACAACTTTTCGTAGAAATAGTGTAGAATTCTTGAAAATCAACAGTTTTCGATCGGAAAACTTTTCTTATCTTCAGGAGATTCCCAGTAATAATACGCAATTGTCTCTTTAACTATTTTTTCATAGCAACTATATTTTATAGGTCCTCCAAAACCCCTAGAAAATGCAATGAAAAAATATGTAATCATAAAAAATGGTTAAATAAACAATTGCATATTAATACTGGAAGTCTCCTGAAGAGAACGACAGTTTTCCGATTGAAAAATATTGATTTTTAAGAATTGTGTACCATTTCTACGAAAATTGGTTTTTTCTCCATATAAAATACATGGAAAATTTTGAGCGCTTTGAGCACCCCCTAAATACTTTTTTATTTCAAAATAAAAAAAATAGTGGTATATTTTTTCGATATAGAGGAATCCTAGGGGGTGCCGGTATTAAAATTCCAACTTAATTTTTTTGGACCACTCTACTGTACATACATACGCACGTTAAAAGTATGCTTTCTACAATGAAGCTTTGCAGAGGATACATTGGCCACTAAATTAACATACATATTAACGACAGATAAATTAATATTTTATATCAATAATTGCATGGAAAATGAAATTTTTTGCCCTCAATTGATTAAAAGGAAAAAATATTTCCCATAATTTTATTTATTTTCAACAATTCACGACCGACGTACGTGATCTTTCTGCTTTGTATTGGCGTTAGCGTTTCCAAATTTTGAAATTCAACGCCCACGCAACGCAAAAGTTGTATGTGGACCGGCCTCTATTCTTTGTTTACGCAAATTTCCCCATATGTACATATAAATCAGACCTGGGCAGCGCCTGCCCGGCGGGCATATTCGCGTATACATACACGCTCTGATTTAGAAGGCAGCGAAAGCTTCATTCAACCCCTGTGGGGAAAATCTCTAGTTTTGAACTGGTGCTCTTCTAGTACATTTAGAACCACGTGTTTTCAAATACAAAATTAAATTTACATTCATTCAAACAAATTTGATTTCAGATTGAAAATACATTTCTCTCCAAAAAATTTAAAATTGCTACCATGGTAACCCAAAAAGAAAACATCTTGTTACTTTTTTCGTTTATAACTGATTCGAAACTATAGAAAATGGGGTGCAAAGCGAACTAGATCCCATATGTCGAATTTAGGACTGGTTCTGAACTATAGAAAAGGTAATGCAGCGGGGGACAATTTCCAATTCCTATGACATCGCTGTGTCAAATTCGCCAGTTGTTTGCATGCAAAAGAGATTTATCGCGAACTAGTAGTGGTTCTAAATGTACTAGAAGCGCACCAGTTCAAAACTAGAGATTTTCCCCACAGGGGTTGAATGAAGCTTTCGCTGCCTTCTAAATCAGAGCGTGTATGTATACGCGAATATGCCCGCCGGACAGGCGCTGCCCAGGTCTGATTTATATGTACATATGGGGAAATTTGCGTAAACAAAGAATAGAGGCCGGTCCACATACAACTTTTGCGTTGCGTGGGCGTTGAATTTCAAAATTTGTCAACGCTAACGCCAACACAAAGCAGAAAGATCACGTACGTCGGTCGTGAATTGTTGAAAATAAATAAAATTATGGGAAATATTTTTTCCTTTTAATCAATTGAGGGCAAGAAATTTCATTTTCCATGCAATTATTGATATAAAATATTAATTTATCTGTCGTTAATATGTATGTTAATTTAGTGGCCAAAGTATCCTCTGCAAAGCTTCATTGTAGAAAGCATACTTTTAACGTGCGTATGTATGTACAGTAGAGTGGTCCAAAAAAATCAAGATGGAATTTTAATACCGGCACCCCCTAGGATTCCTCTATATCGAAAAAATATACCACTATTTTTTTTATTTTGAAATAAAAAAGTATTTANGAAATCTGAAATCAAATTTGTTTGAATGAATGTAAATTTAATTTTGTATTTGAAAACACGTTTACATACCTTTGGCTGTAGCTGAATTTGCGGAGGTGCTGACTGTTATTGGTTATATTCCAGAAGGTCCCATAATGTTAAGATGTTAACACAAATATTAGTTTTATATTACCAAACTATGAAAAAGCATCTGCGACGTGCAGACTGAAAGCATATTTGAACGAAAAACCCGCCAAGCAAAAATCTATTTAAAGAAAACAAGCCCCCCNGAAAGCATATTTGAACGAAAAACCCGCCAAGCAAAAATCTATTTAAAGAAAACATGCCCCCCGCTGCATC